CCCACACCCCCCCGCCCCCAGCCGGTAAGGTACGTTGACCCTCACCAGGACAGGCTGGCGACCCTGCGGGTACACGGGCTCCCACATCAGCTGGTGGGTGCGCATGAAGCTGATCACCTCGTCGGGGAAGTCCTTGGTGGACTGCAGCAGGGGGTCATACGTCTCGCTGGGGCACTGTGTGACAACACGGCGGGGCCACGTCAGGGCCAGGCCAGCCCATCCCACTCCCCCCAACCCTGCTCCCCAGCCCCTTACCGTGCCAGGACGGGGATAGGGGACGCGGCCTTTGTATTCTGTCCAGCGGTAGTCGAATCCCTCCTTGTGAGCAAAGGGGCCACTGAAGGCAGCTCTCACAGCAGCCATGGAGTAGACGCAGACAGCAGAGCCGCTGAAGACACCGCTGTGGAGGGACCGCAGGGCCGTCAGTGTACATGCTGCTCCGTGGGGGACAGGCACGTGCACACCCGTGCCCCTGACTCCACACTGTCCCCTGCCAGCCCTAGAGTCGTGCATGGCACCCGGGGGGTGACAGGAAGCCCTTTGGCACAGCCAGTCCAACCTGGGGGCCGCTGGCTGTGCTGATGCCAAACCTGGTGGCTTGGCAGTCGGGCTGGTGAACCAGCAGCAGGGAAAGCAGTGAAATGGCTGGTGGCCCTTCCTCTCCCTGCTGGGTGCTGGCCCTGCCCTTCTTCCCCCCGAGGGCTCCCCGGGGGGGCAGCACTGGTGAGGGGCTGGGGGGCTGGACTGCCCCACGCAGGGGCTAGCCAGAGCCCTGCTCACCTGGAGACTGTGAAGAGGCCGAAGACGAGGGGGTTCTGGGGGTCCCGGGTGCGCAAGAGGAAAACATCCTCTGCAAAGAGAGGGGTGGAGATGAGGCACCCGGGAGCTGGAGCATTGGTCCAGGGGATGCAGGCAGGCATCCCCAGTGCCTTGCCCACCTCCCTGGGGTGTACTGGAAGGAGCAGCCATGGCGGAGCAGCATTGCCAGCTGCCAAGCGGGCTGTGCACTCACCGAGCTGGTCGAAGTGGGTCTCAGTGCCCTGGGGCCCAGGGATGGAGCACACCAGGCGGGCCTTGAGGAACGTGCTCCAGCGGTTGATAAGGCTGCGCTTCCCTCCAACGTCGTTCTGCCGGGCACCAAGAGCTGGGCTCAGCCCAGCCTCTCCGAGCCTCCCCCACCACCATGCACTCCTCGGTCCCCGCAGCGGGACACCCCCAGCCCTGAGCCCTCTGCTCCGCAGTAGGGGTGCAGTGACACCTTCATGTCCTGCTGTTGGCCCTGCTTGGGATGCCCCTTGGCCCAGAGAAGGTAAAAGCCCACCTGGTGGGACACCCGGCCACAGTATGCTGGCCTTTGGTGACTGACCTTGCAGACCCGGGCCACCCTGGCATGGATGTGCCGCCTCTCCCACTGCCCAGCCTCCATGGCCGTCTCACGGAAGAAGATGTAGACCTTGTCGTCGTGGGGGTTGTAGGTATCGGGGATGGCGTAGGCACCGACAAACGCAGGCTCTGTGGAGGGAAGGAGCAGCACAACATGGCCCTGTGCCCTGATCCGACACTGTTGTACTGCCCTTGGAAGCCCCTGGGAGCAGTGTGAGATGCTGGGTGTATGCAGGGCACCCCATGGAGACCCTGTTACCCAGAAGGTAGAGCCTCATTCCTGGTGTTCAGGCTGCAGAGTGTGTGCTGGAGCATGGGTCCCACCAGAGGCTTCATCAGTGCTTCCCCCCGGAGAGGAGAAGGGGGCCAGACCATTGAGTTCTGGACCCAGTGCTGGCCCCAGCCTCTCCCCAGCCAGCAGGAGAGCCCCCCACACCCCAGGGGTCCCCCCACTCGTACCGTGTAGCCAGTGGTCCTGGTTCTGCTCTGTCCGGATGTAGCTCTGCTCAGCCCCATGGACCCAGGTCCGGAAGAAGGCAGCGCTGCTGCCCATGAAGTCACTGGAGGTGCCTGAATACAGCTCCCCATCTGCAGGGTCAGAGGTGGGGGGGGCATGGATGGACTGGGGTGCCAGTGCTGGAGGTAGGCTGGCAGGATGCCCCTGTGTCCTCGGAGGCTCGGGGTGGGTGGAGGTGGCACAGTCTGGCTGGGACTGTCCTCCAGACTCGTGACCCAGCATGACTTCTAGTTCCACACCCAACTAGGCCTTCCACAGTGCCCATATGAGGTGGGCAGGCTGGTGACACCACACACCCCCATGTGCATGCCATTCGATCTACACCCCACATTCACAATTCTGTGCAGGATCTGCGAGGTCAGGTGAGCTGGGGCAGCACCAGGCTCTGCGGGATGGCTCCTCTCATGTGCACACACTCAGGTACCAGCCCAGGACCACAGCCACGTGCAGCAGAGCAGGGGTGCAGGTACTGCTGCCATCACCTCCCAGCACAGACCATTCCCAGCGTTCCCACCTTCCAGCATCACCTCTGCTTCCTGCTCCCTCTTACCAATGAGGAGTCCCGTGAAGGGTTCATGGGGGCTGTATGGGCAACGTCCTCGCCCCGATTCCAAGGAGTGGGTCACCAACCGCATGGGGGGAGCCCCGGGACCCTGCCAGAGCCAAAGGAGAGATGTCAGCCCAGCTGGAAACAAGCTGGGCATGGGGAGATGAGTGGGAAGGAGGCTAGCGTGCTCGGCTCTGCAACGAGCAGGTCCCTCAAAGGAGCTGCCAGGACCTGGTCCCGTCCCCATGGGGCACCCTGGCACTGGCAAGCCGGGGCTGCTTCTTGCCACACTCAGCAGGGCCATGTAAATGTCAGGGACTGTGCCAGGCTGGCTGGCCACCCTCCCCGGACTCCAGGGCTGCCTCTGCCCCCCACTCACTGGGAGCGGCTCTTGCCACCTTCTGCAATGGGGACGTGGCTGGCCAGGGTGTCCCTCACCTTCCCCCTGGCTCCCAGCTGGATGAAAGCACAGACAGGCTGGTAGGAGCCAGTCCCGCAGGCGAACACGTGGCTCCTGTTGAAGGGCTGGAGGAGGCGGATGAAGTTGGCACACTCCGTCTGCTCGAGGGGAGATGTTTGTTAGTGAGCTGAGCCTAGGTCTGGGCACTTGTGCCCAGCCCTGTGGCGTGTCTGCTTGGGATGCTGGAGCCCTAGCCAGATCCTCCCCTGGCTGAGCTTAACTCCATCTGGCTCAACACCCTTGTCTCAGGCAGACCCCACGCTCCCTTTCAAAGTGATGTGGGTATTTAATATCCATGGCAAACCACAAAAGGCCATGAGCCGGGGGCTGCCAGCCCTGCTTACCTCTATGTTCTTCCCCGCCAGCTGGCAATGCTCAACCTGCTCCCTGGAGGCTGGCCAGAAAATCTGCAACACAGAGACCCCCACCGATACAGCCCCTGCTTTCCTTGACCTTCCTGGGTCAGCTGGCTCCCGCAGGCACCAGTGGGAACGGGCTGAGCCAAAAGCTGCTGCTGGGCTCAGGCACACGGTGAGGACGTGGGCCTGCTCCGCAACGGGTCTGACACCCCCTTGGGTCCCCAGGGCCCAGCCAAGCTCAGCGGGCAGCTTGCCAAATAGGCTCAGAGTGAACCTGGCGTGGGGACAGAGCCTGGGTGGGCCACGGCACACCCAGTCAGTGGGCAGTCTCTCCTGGATCCTGGCCCGTGGGAACGCCAGGCAGCAGCGCCTTAACAGGCTTTCCTTTTGTTGGGCTTGAGCTGCGCACCCCGCCAGCAGGATGTCTTGGGATGACATTAGCAGACTCGCTGCTGGAGTTGTTTTAGCTTTTGCAGCCCCAGCAGGGACTAGGTGTGATAGCAGGGCTCCGGGCACTGCCCTTCCACCTCGCCCGGGATCCACCCAGGTCTCCTCTCCTGGCCAAGCTGCCCTGTCCCTACCCAGCATCAACCTGTCCCCACGGGGCTTGACACCGCCAGGGATGATGGGTTGACCCCCTGATTGAGACATCCTGGTGTAAATGTGTCCCTGGTGACGTTGCACCAGCCCAGCTGGGAGTACATTCACCTCCACGCCTCGGCACAGGAACGAGGAGCAGCTGCTGGGGAAGAAGGGCACAGCCTGGCCAGGGTCACACTCACACCCTCCTCCCAGCACTGACCTTCTCAGGCTCTCTGCTGGGATGATCCAGGTGGAGCAGGAAGATGTGGTTTTTTGCTCCCACCATCAGCCAGGCCCTGTCTTCATCCACCAAGAGGGCTTGGAAATCCAGCCCATCCCCTGAGGCCAGCAACAGGCGAGAGCTGTTGGATTTCAGCAGATCTGAGGAGCACAAGGTGGGAGAAAGAGAAACCCATCCATGAGCAACACAGCAAGCAGCCAGAGACTCTGTGCTCCCCTCTCCGGGACAGCTCTGGATACCCACCCCTGCCCCAAGGGAATGCAACTTTCCTGCTACTGTCTTAGTAGAAAAACACCACCCTTGGTGCCCCAAAGCTCATCGTGTGGCCTCCTCCCATGAGCCTACCTGGAGGAAACAGTGAGTCACCCCTACAAAGAGGAAAACTACCCTGACCTTGCCCTGGGCTGGGCTGGTTTGCAGGCTGTGGGGCAGGACAGCGGTCCAGCCCGAGGAGCCCAGGTTGCTCAGCTTCCACCCTGCCTTTCAGAGGAGCTCTTTGGAGCCCCAAAGCTTCTGTACCCCAAAACCATGGGGAGAGGGCTGAGAACACGGAATATTCACTTGCTGTAACTCCAGCATGTTTGGGCCCACACTGGGCTTCAGGTCAAGAGAGTTTATATAAAAAAGATTTTGGCTATTTGCTGGGGCAAAGCATCCCTCCAAGGAAAGGCTGTATGGAAACACAGCCACCACAGCTCAGCCTGGACACTTCTCTGCTCCGCCTGCCCCTGAGCCTTTTCGATTGCAAAGTGTCTGCTGGCTGCTGGGCTTTACCCCAGACACCGGGATGGGCAGGCAGGTGGGTGCACCAGCATGGGCAGGCAGATGGGTGCGCCAGGACAGACGGATGGCTGCTGCCTGGCCCATGGAGCTTCTAAGGGAAGTCCCCAGCTGTGTCCTGGGTGCTGCTCTGACCCTGCTTCTGCCACCCCACATTTTGCCCATCCTGCATCCTGAGACACAGCCTAAACCCAGCATTAGGCTCAGGAAAAGGGCTTTTAAGAGCACTCCTTTGGCACTGCTGGAGGGAAGAGCCACCTTGCCAAGGAGGAAAGTGTGCCATGGACCCCCATGGACATGGCAGGGCAGTGGGAAAGCTGCTGCTGTTCAGGTTGTAGCTCATCCCGTGCAGAAGCCTGGGGGCGGCTAGCATGGCCCCTCTGGCACAGTTGCAGGCGTGTGGGTGTGTGAGAGGGACAATAAGCTCTTGTATCTTGGTTAACTACTCCTGAAACAACATCCCCGGGGCCTGCATCAGTTCGTGATGTGCAGCGCCAGGTTTTGGGGCTGGCTGCTGGCGTGAGCATCCCCCAGCATGGCAGGGGAGGCTGCTGCGCCGGACACGGGATCACAGCAGCTGCCGCCCCAGCAAGCGCCTGCTCCCAGGGATCAAGGCAGGGGAGACCGGCACCAAGGCAGGCCTTAGAGCTTCCAGAAGTCATAACACATTGCTTTCCTCTTCAAAAGTGGTGGGATCCAGCTAGGGATAGGGTGAAGGCTGGCTACGCTGGTGAGGCTGCTCTTGGCTTTGGTGCTGTGCAGGGGAAGGCGAGAAAATAGGGCCGTGCCGTGGGAAGGGGAGATGGAGATGGGCTGCTGCTGGATGGGGGCTGGAGGGAGTTGGAATGCGGCTGGAAACCTGGGGTGGTCTGTAAGACCCAGTCTGAGAAATTACCCAAAATCATGTGGATTGAAGCAGTGTGCTAGGAACAGAGGGAGGGAAGCTGTCAAGGGGAGCCGGTGCTGGCC